ATAGTGATAAAAGAAAAAAAATATATAATAATATTCTATAATTCTTCTAAGACTAAGAATGCATTGTCATATATGATAGAAAAAAAAAATCATAACTTATCTGTAAATGTTGCTCTATCTGTTGTTTTTTTTTTTAATTTCTGATGAACCATATGTCAGAATATGTATTACATTAGTTTTTTTTTTCTTCTTGAAGAATAGAATCATTAAGATTCTTCAAAGATAAAGCTTAGTATTTAATTATCTAAATGAATATTATTAAAAATTTAATCCAACCGATACATCGATTTGACAAGGCATGATTTTTATTATAAGAATATCATTATTAATACTTCGAAATATTTCCTTGTTTTAAAATCAAACATATCACATAAAAAAAGAAAATTTCTAATAATAAATCATGTCAAATTCAACTAAAAAGTATTTTTGGAATAAATAACATAAAATTAGTTCAGATAAGTCTTTCCTATAGGTGATAATATTTAATCCTAAGCTTGACATACTTTTTTTTAAATACTTACTATCTTTCATTATGAAGATTATTCCAACTTAAAATCAAAGGAAAAGTCACATTTGAAATATTTCATTATGAAGAGCGAAAAAAACAAAACACGAATTTTTAAAATATAAATCTTGTTATCTGACCTTTTAGAATATTTCTTCTATAATTGAAAAAATTTCTCTATATCTTTGAGAGACATTCTTTAGTGGAAAAAAAAATGAAATATTTCTATATATATATCATTAAGTTCTTCTCACTTGATGTAAAATTTTTTTTCACATTTTCTTCTTATTCACAAGTTATTTGGTGTAAATTGCACTTACAATAAACGATATTTCTCTAGTACATTAGGTTTTCAAGTATATTTCTTTCTAGGAAATCTTCCTTGTTACCTTTTTTGTCATGTTTTTTTTTTTTTTATAGAATATGAAACAATCTTAAATAAACTCAATGACATAAATATTCAATTTAATGAAATTCTTTATGTTAAAAAGAAAAATTCTTTTTATACAAACATAATTATTGATAGGAAAATTTATAATTTACGTATTTATACAAAGATTTTCTTTTTGGTTCTTATTCTTATTATTTATGTTATATTAAAATATATTTAATTGTATATATTGAAATGAATTGAAAGAAAATAATGACAAGTACTTTTTTATATGTATATAAAATATGTGTATGTCATGAACAATTACTTCCCTCTTTAATTCTAATAATCAATAAAATAATATCACAATTATGTAAAAATAGTACATCTACATACATACATTTGAATTGAAAAGACACTCTGTTTCTCTTTTTTCTTCGTTTTTATAAAAGAAAATATTAATATATTCGTATTTTATTCAAAAATTTTCTACGTAATATTTTATTCACATGGAAAAAAGAACAAAAGATCTGAATAAATTACAAAAAAAAAACAAAAATTTAAAACAATTTATCATTACCACAATTTTCATTAGTCTATTATTCATATTCGAATATAGTATTAATAACTAACTATAAATAAATTATTTTACAGATTCTTATTATCAAAAAATTCTGTGAGACTATGTGAAATATTTAAATATGATAATTGCATTGCGTCATGAAAATGTATGTGTGTAATATGGTTATAAGTCAAATTTGACCTCGAACAAAATGAAATTTATATCATTATTAAATCAAAATACTTTTTTATAATAAGTTTTTCAATTACCTAACAATAATGTGTTTTGATGTCTATTATTTACAATCAACTCATATAGAAGGAAGCCGATAATTATCACTCATGAAGATGTGTATCAATGAACTTAATCAGATAGATTGGCTTCATCTCTGGATTTATCAAAGAATTGCATTCAAAGACATCTAATTTGTATGATTTAATAGATTTTCTTACAAGTAACTACATATACAAGCGATAATTTAATATAGATTGACGAAAGAATATAAACTAACTTTATAAAAATCTTTTGAAGATTTTTTTAAAATTGTAACACATACCAAAAACAAAGACTTTCTTATCAATAAAACAAATTTCTATATTGAGATTATTTTATTTTTGATAATCTCAATTGAAAAATATTTCATATTAATATACGATCTTCTCTTATGCATCTAAAATTCCACATTGTCTTTATTTTAAGTCACATCCTTATAATAGACGTGATAAAGAAAAACATACAAGATTTCTTTGTACACTTTTCTATTAGCTTCGTTAATCCTTAAATACTTTCTTTCAATTATATCGCTTTTTATGTGTCTTACATTACAATATTCTTTAGAATGAATTCTTTCTCATGTTGAAAAAAAATCTAGGGTATTAGGTTCTCTTCTTTTTTTTTTTGTTTTGTATCTGAATGATACAAAATCTTCATAACCATATGGTAGATAAGAAGCTTAAAAGGCAACAAAAGACATTCATATAATTAACAATGATATATTTTTCTCGATAGTATTAAATTCAACAAAAAAATTTCTTTTTTTTTTATGATTGTTATAATAAAAAAATGAGAATATAATGACATTGAATTCTTATTTATGTTAGTTAGAAGGAGTACAAAATTTTTTAATACATTGAGTATGTTTTGGAAGGAATTAATATGAGAACAAAAATTAGGAATAAATTAGATTCATGTGAAAGGAATGATTATTCTAATTTTGAGATTTATTTTTTTATATAAAAACTTATAAGTGTATATAGGTCACTTCAAGTACGAAGGAACATATTCACCTTGTGTTGGACTTTAATTCTTTACAAGGATTCTTTTTTTTGTTTTTGAATAAATTCTTTTGATATAAACATATGTCAAAATATTTGCTCTTTCATATCACTATTAATGAAAAAGTAATTAGCAAATATCTCCCTAGCCATACGAGAAAAAAATCTCGGAAAATTTCAGTATAAACTCTGCAGAGTAAATCACATCTACGGTGACATTTTCAACAAGACTGAACTTCAAAAAAACTTTCTCTTAAAAATCTGATTTTTTAGATTTAGAGATTCTGAAGAAGGTTTTATACCCTTTAGAATTGGTTTTGACCTACTCATTCAATTATAAAAAGCATTTTTTGTTTATATATTTGCACTCTGTCACATCGTTAAAGCCAGGGTTTTCTCGACTGATAACTTCTGTGAATAACGGTCTCTAACACTGATTTTCTCATGACATCTAGAGCAACTTACCGTACATGTAATTTATAAAAAGTAGTTCTAGGAAAGTGTATTGTATCGAAATAGATGTGTTTTGATTTTGCGTGGGCATGTCATAAACGAATGAGTTGGCCTATATGATAAACAAATGCTTACCTTAGAAAAAAAATGTCAGAAAAAACTTCATCTATTATTGGCTTGATTACTCGAACGACCATAATATTTGCTCACAAACGTTTTCTTCGAATGTCAAAAAACTAAAAGTCAAACGTTATGCACCGGTTGAACTATGAGAAAAGGATGATTCTCTCAATATGTCGAATATTTTTTCATTGATTTCAATAATCTTTTTTGATGACTTATTTTTCAATTCTCTACAACAACACCTGTTACTATTTACCTAAAATATCTATGAAATCTCAAACAAACTATTGACTTCATTGTCATGACTTGTGATAACTTCTTTTTCTTTTTCTTAATTTACCTTAGTGCTGACTTTAACTCCGAAATTCTACGTTGACATTTTATTTAACTTTAACCTACTTTATGAAATATAATATTGCGTATCATACAGTTTTAATCAAGGTTACTCAAAAAATCCAATAGTCTCGATTGATAAATAACAGATGAAAAAATTTCTATAGATGCAAAGTACAAAGAATAGTTGACAGTATGTGCTAATTAAAGTCTATTCATCTCCGATTTGTCTAAATGTAGTTTCATTAAAATTCAATATACAAAAAAATAAAATAAATTAGTTCACCTGGTGAACGAGAAGGAAGATAAAACAAAAGAAAACCATAAATTGTAGAATACGAATATTCATTAAAACAAATTCAGAAAACAAAAATTTATGTATAAAAGTTGTGACAATAAGATTTATCATTTATAAAATATTGAAAGAATCATTCTTTATAACCGTCCTGTTACATATCTTCAATGATCAAGCAAATCGTACAATACTCAAGTATAGAACTTATTTAAAACTAAAAAACTAATTTTCTAATTGAAAAGCTTCTTCTATTGGAAATATTCTCACTATATAAACTATTAATTAAAATAAAAAAATTTTTTTTTTCCCTAAAAGAATTTTTATTATCTAAAACAATAAGCATATAATTTAGTCTGTTTTTCAATAGAATCTCAACTTTTGAGTTTATTTGTAACATATGTATTCAAATACATTAGTCTACTAATCTTTTATATACGAACTAATTATTAAAATACTAGAATATGAAATGTAAATGGCTACCGTATGTCTTAATTTTGCTATGCAAAAATAAAACATGAGAAGATTCAAAGAAAAAAAATTTTTTTTTTTTTTCGAAGAAAATATACATATGTTGTAAATGAGTTTTTTTAAATTATTCTTTGAAAATCTAATACAAAAAAAAAAAAAAATTCTAAATAATTTTTAAAGTAAATAAAATTAAATTTTTCAAATTTGTTTAATATTCGTTTGTATTTCTTTAGAATATATTAGTTTTTATAATCAAATAAATTATCTACTATCATATCACTTAAAATCCTATGTGATTGGTGTTTTTTTTAATAAATCAAATAAGATTTTCTTTAATCAATCTATACTAATTATTGTCTATTTCGATAGGTTGCGTTATATAAAATATCAAAATGAAACAAATCGATAGGTTTTAAATCACCTGACGTATAAACCGTCAACGCATCTCGTTTTTTGTTTTGGCCTTATTTGCCTAAAAGACAGAACGAAAAAAGAGGAAAAAGACGGGGACCATATTTGTCCATGCACGATTATTGTATCGTTCACGCGTGACAGATTCAGAACCCTTTTTTTTGTTGCTTATATAATTACAATAAATAACTATTTCCGTATTAAATATGTCAATTGAAGATATTGATGGAGCAAGTGTTGAAGAATTTGATCCTTATCGTGCTACTGGTCTCTGGCACATACTTGCCACAAATCTTAATATATGGAAAAATAAACTAACCCCTACAGTAACTTATAGTATTCATGATCAATTGCCCGATGGACGTGTTCGTTTGAATAATCTTGTTGAATATTATAGTAAACGACTTTGTGTTGGTTATCGTCCAGCAAGTATCGAAGGTATTGATACACAATTACCAAATAAACCAAGTCGTTATCAATGGCAAGGTAATGGTATATTAAAATTCTTTACCAATGAATCAGGATTTATTTTTGTCGATAATGAAACAACATCTGATCGACCTTATCAATGGGTAGCAAAAATATATAGTCCAACACTTTTTTCTAGTGGTGGAATCGATTTAATGACACGTACACGACAACCACCGACGCATATCCTTAATGATTTTGTACAATTTTGTCGTGATCATCCTATATTAAAATCAAAATCAGCGAATATGTACTATACACGAGAAAAAGCTGGTAATGAAATTTATTATATACAAGATCTTCAAATAGATTAATATAAATAATATAAAAAAGAAAAAAAAAAAAACATTAAACATTTTTTTTCTCTGTAGTAATTCTTGTTGTATTTTTCTAATGCACAGATTTTAAAAATCGATAGACTTTTGAAATAAAAATCTTTATCTGGTTAATTCAATGTACATTAGTATTGTTTTTTTTCGATAACACTATGCAAAAAGGAAAATTCTATTTATTAGTTCCTCATAATAATTTTTCCATTTTCCTATATAAAAAAAAAAACCAATATTTGTGAATAACCGAATTAATTCGATGTAGTGTGAAAGAAAAACAAGTGGTAGATATGAATCATAAGCTTTTCTTTTTTTTATTTGTAAAAAAGAAAAAAACAAAAATTACCTATCGCGCATATATATAGTATATTTGAAATATTTTTTAATTCAACGCCTTTGGAGTCAATCAAAATACATCAGTTTTTATCGGATGTTTTTTTTTCTTAATAGGAAAAGTAAATCGAAAATTTTCTTTTTTCATTCATATTTATAACACTATCTAAGCACTTAAAGTATGCATACTTAGCAAATAATTTCAAGTCATACTTGCTGTGCATATTCTCACTACTATTATAAAAGAGCATATTGACATGTAGATAAATATATTAGGACAATCGACTGTTTTGGTTTTTTCATTGAAATAGAATGAGTCATTTTTCAGTTCCAACAGACATAACAATTTACAATGTTACTTGCATGCATATAAAAAGTCTCGTACAATTATTCATTCTAATAATCGAACTGGTGTATAGATTATAGAACGAACATTGTTCTTCGTAAAAATATAGTTACTAATGATTATCGCGAAGAGAAGAAAATTCAGAGATATCTTATCAAATTTAATATGAATTGTAGGTAAGAAAAATTTTATATAGGATAAATTGTTTTGATTTGCTATTTATAAATCTAAGAATTTCAGAATATAATCACCGGTTTTTTTTTATATAGATTAACTATATATAAAAATTCATAATACGTAGTTTTTATTTTTAACAACAGTTACTAAAAAAAAAAATTCATCATCTGACAAGTATGAGTTTTGTTGTATACTAGAATTAATTATGTTGATGCATAGAATTTAAAAATTAAGTATCTTCATTTTTAAAAATGTAGATTAGTAAAAAAGTCATCAAATTAAGAAATGAATTTCATTTAGTTTTTAATCTTTAGAAACGTACTATTTATAAAATTTTAATTATCATTAAACTAATGTATATGCTTTTAACTAATCAATTTGACTATATGATATTCAATGTTGAAAATCAGAAATTGAACAAAGAAATCATTCTTTAACGAAAATTGTTTTAAATAAATTTTCTATTAGTCGATAGAAATTTATTATCGAAATAAAAATCTATAGAAACTTGTCGAGAGATGTTTTTCACTCTGCAGAATTTCTAAAGCTTTTTTTATCTAAATACAACGAATCTATAATACTTACTTAACAATTATTTAGACTTTAGATCAGTTAATAATAAAGTGAAATGCATATCTACTCTATTCGTTTTGTTTGTTTTTTTTTACAACAAAGAACTCACATCTTATCTTCTAATAGCTTTCTTCTTCTTTCACATTTACACATACCAATGAAGAGTTAAAATGGCATCTATATCATTCATTCATTCTTTCTTTTTAACTAATGGGTCTTAAGCGAAAAAAAGAAACTTATTTCTCTACGTGAATGTATGTCTATAATGTCGACAAACTACATAAAATCTCTTTCAAAAAAACTTCATAGGAATACAATGGTCTGTTTTTTAGATTAACTTACGCTTAATATAAAATATATAGCCAAGATGTTCTGACTCGTTTTATAAAATAAGAAAAATGTTCTTGTAATACTAATTCTCGTTATAGAGAAAAAGCATAATAAAATGTCTTCTTACTTGATTTCTCTAGCTTATCTTGTAATAAATTTATTAGTCAGGAAAATGCCAATCATACTTAAAAGTAAAATAATTGTTAATATTTTAATTATTAACAATAAATTACTAGATGAAATATAATTCAAATAATCCATTTGAATTGACAAAGCATTCTTTTTGACATGTTAACTGAATAGAACCTAGATTGTACATTAACTCTATCTTTGAAAGAAAAGAACTTTTTGGACACTTTTTAATATATTGGATTTATTTTCTGTTTTTAATAATTATTGATAGAAACCAAAAGAATTTTCATAAGAATGTAATTCATTGATAATATCAGTTATTTTCTAAGTAAGATTCTTTTCTTTTCAAGATAGAATTAATGTATAACATAGTTTCTATTCAATTAATATGTTAAATATTTAATTCGTCATAAAACTATTCGAAAAAACTGTTTACTTAATTCCAAGGAATTGTTTGAGTTACATTTAATTCAACATTATTATTATTCCATATGACATAAACTACTTACGAGGGAATCTGTCGAGGTGTAAAATTGCTTTTTCACCGAAACTATATTCATTCGATAGATCCTATGAAACAATGTAAAAGTCTAGAATAGCTTCGGAGATATAATAGTTTTACTATGTTTTTTAGTAAAATACTCTGATTTCTCTCAGGTTCACCTGAAAAATTAGTTTTCGAATTTTGATTCGAAACCTTGCACAGATAAAAGTGCACCTATTCCGTAGAGAAAATTATTGTCAACATCGCTGATAGCACAAAATGTTTTATGTTCAAATTTTAGTATAGACACAACTAAAAAGTTTGAAACTTTTTGAATAAACTAGTGTCATTTACAATTTTATCTGTGCAAAGTTTCGAGTCGAAATTTGAAAATTATTTTTCCAGATGAACCTGACAAGGACCAGGACCAGGATGTTTTGTTAAAAAACATAGTCAAAATACGATATCTTAGACGTGAAGGCCTGAAAACCAAACCATTCTGAACTTGTTCATTGCTTACTAAGATTTATCGAATGAATATAGTCCTGATACAAAAGCGATTTTACATCTTGAAAGTTTTCCCTCATTAGATATTTTAGTTGATTTATAATTTGGCAATTAAGATTCATTCGAAAATGCTATTAGTGCAATCCCTACAGGATTAAAATATAAAACACGATAGAGTTGTTGGTATTTTAAAAGCAAGAATTAATCAATATATGTTTCAGTTTATGAGTTCCTACGTACTATTAATGCAAGATATTAATTGTAATATATTCCAGTGAGTGTGAAAGAAAAGTAACGAACAACTATCATCTCCTACACTTCAATACCTTGTGTAGATCGTTTTTCACAAAAGTAGAACTTATGATATATAGTTAATTTATCAGAGTTATTATTGATAAAAATTCTAAATCAACAAAGACATAAAGTTTGAAAAAGAATGTATTAAAAATCTATAACAATTATTGAACAATTGAAAGAGAACTAATCAAAGAATTTATTATCATTTTCAGTGAACTTATAACCTAATGGAAAAGTACCCGTAGTCATGAAACTTAGTACTTAAAATATTATATGTAATTGTAAACATCATTAGTACAGATATTAAATTAAATCTAATATTAGTACGTGCTAAACATTGGATTTTACATATCTATTTTATTCTATATATAATTATAAATAAATTATAAGTATTTTATACGAGTCTTAACATGTGGACTTGTGGGTTTTAACCCATGAATTCAATTACAATTGAAAAAATAATTAATGACCAATTTCTTTTTGTTAAATTTTTCAATGGATCTTATAACAAGTGTATCATTAGTATAGTTCAAGAAAAAAGTACAATGTCTATTTTTGTTTTAGTCTTTGTACGATATAACGTGGATGGATCATAAGAATTTTTCAATAACACTTTTATCTGAGTTACATTCTTTCGGTGGTTCTATGAACAAAAACTCATTAATATTGTATCGATGAAGGGTTTTATTTCTAGCAATATTTCATATTGAAGTTAATTGTAGAATTTTCAATACATCATTATTTACAATAATATAATAGATAATTATTGGTAAATAGACATTTTTATGATCTCAAAATGAATCTATTATATATTAAATTTTCGAATCATTTATAATCATTGAAATTTTTCACTCTATAATTTTTTTTTTTGATTGATAATTTAATTATCATACGATAAAACAGATTCAATTTTTTCTTTTCTTATGTTTACATAAGACAGATTTGATTTAATGTTCTTCTCACTGCTTTACTAATATAGTATTTTTTTTTCTATAATGCTAAGCAATTAGCTCAACTTTGGATATGATTTTATGGTAGTTTTCAGATCCAAGAAGACTATTTGTTTTTGATGATGTTATTTTAAAGAGTACAAAATAAGAGGTCGCCGCATTTTTTACAACCTTCTATTAAGAACTTAAAAGTATCATAAAAACCGAAAAAAAGGCGTTTTTTAGTTAGTTTTTGATAAGTTTTATTTTTTGTGATACTTTTGACTTTTTTAAGGGAAGATTGTAGAAAATATAGCGACTCCTCATTTTGTGCTCTCTAAAATAACTTCTGTGATCTGAAAACTATCATGTTCGGTTTTTTTTAGAAACCTTACCATATTCAATCTTGCTATAGAATGCATTAGATAGAAAATTCCATTGACTACTAAAATCATTATCTAGATTTTAATTAAGTGCTTAACATTATAGAGAAAAATATATCACAAAATATTTTTTTAATACATAGTCAGCAAAGCAGAAGCATTAAATAAATCTACTGAAAAAAATTATTTTTAAGATAGCACAATATAAAGCATATTGATTTAATAAATAGTATGATTTAATCATAATCGAACATATATACCTATCTGAATGAAAGCTCTATTATGTCTTTTTTTTGTATCTAAATTATTTTAAAAGATTACATTTAATCGTGTGTATTGAGAACTGAAATACAGTTCTGTTGATCACAAGGTCACTTTAATAAATAAATAAATAAATAAATATATATATATATATATATATCTATTGATAGTAATGATCAAGTTGTTAAATTAAAGCTAAGAAAAAATTTATATTCGATATTAACAACTTTCAAATATAATCTACACTCTAATCTAAATTTTTTGATCACTATTAGGTCATTAATATTGCTTTTAATTACAAATTAATCTTTAATCATGATTTGTTTAATCATAAATCTACGTGAATTTTAATTCTTGCTATATGGTATTCTGTAATTTATTTCCAAACCCTAGATAGAAAAAAAAGGGGAATCAAACTTAACCCTTTGTTGCCGAATAACACCTATAGGTGCCGTTTTTTAGGTTGTTGAAGAAGGGCCAGAACCTATTGCAAGAAATGTAAAGTTTGGCTTCCTTATGCTGAAACTAATCATTTCCAATTATATCATCGACTGGAACATAGATCTCTCAAACTCAATTTATATATTACAACAAATGATGATTTATGAAGTGAATGTAATTATCGTATGCTTACATAATAGTACCATAGTGTTCATTCTGCTGTAACTTTCATAGATTTTTCTATACAATAAAAACTGCCGAACATTCAATACGTCAGCTATACCAGCATTTAAGTGATATGATTCAAAGTTTTTTTGTGCATATTTGGAGTCGTAGTGATCATATTATCCGATAAATTCCAGTCTCAGACCTTAAACTTTAGTCACATGCAAGAAAGGGTTAAAAATCTATTACTTTTATGAGCTTTTTGATAATTCATTCGTATTATTGGCGATAAAAGTCTTAGATACATAAATAGACTTAGTAGATCTGAAATTAAAATGTCTCAGAAAAATTTCTATAATGTGCAAATTTGACATGTTATAAGCAATCATCGAATGAGAACAGAATTTAATAGTGCATAATTGTACACATTTTTCAAGAATAAATACATCTATCTAACAAATATTTCCTATCGATATGAATATTTAATAGAATATTCCGTGTGAAATTAAGTTTTTTTTAAAATTCATTACTATTCGCTTGTCCTAATAAGTATTCACCATCAATTGAATCCAATAGCACAGCTAAATATCTATTCTAATAACTTAAAATATCTATCTTCGAAAAAACTTTCATCATATAGATTCTCTTGTTATGAATTTTTTTTATTCTGTCACTATAACTTTCATCTTATAGAAACACTTTCATGATTATACTCCTTTGTAATTATTGTTCAGCCGAACAGCAAAGTTATAATAATGAGTGTTTTGTAATTACATTTATATGAAATTTTTTTTCTTCTCTTCAATATCTTATTTTAATTAGAAATTTTTCATCTTCTATTTGCATAAAATGCCAATACTTTATTGATAAGATTTTTTATGTATAAAGAATATTCTAATCAAAAATTTGCATTCTATTTATTTGTTTGGTTATGTCTTACATATCCAGCTTATTTAGTATATATTGCACACATCTGACATCTGAGTAGTGATGTTAATAAATAGAGAAAAACAATGTGGATGAATAATGATGATTCATCATATATTCAGATAAAAATTTCATATATAAGTAGAAATATTATTTAGATTTTAGTTTTCATTGCCAAAAAATTCCATGGCTGAAGAAAAACGTTCATTTAAAATTCAAGCTATTAATCGCCGTTTTTTACCATTTGATTCAGGTTAATTATTAATCTTATTTTTTAATGAAAATAGATTTTTATGTTTATTTAGAAAAAGAAAAAGAATGGCAAGGTCCATTTTTTTTTGTTCAAGGTGCTGATTGTCAACCTGGTTTAACATATCGATGGACAGGTACTGAGAGAAAACAATGTACTACTGATATGCCTATGAAGTAATGAAAAAGTTTTATAATTTTCTTTTCTTTCTTCTATAATGATTTTATCTAGATGGGATGTTGAAATAGAAGCAACACGTGCTGTTATTAAAAAACTCAATCAAATGCAACCAAAACCAAAATTTTTTATTGTTTGTGGCGATCTTGTTGATGCATTTGATTGTAAGAAATAGAAAATTTTATTGAAAAAAAAAAAAAAAATAATAATTTTTCAATTCTAGTCGAAGAACCATTTCGTACACAACAAGAAAATGATATAAAACAAGTATTTAGTGAATTAGATCCTTCAATACCATTATTATGTGTTTGTGGAAATCATGATATTGGTGATCAACCAACACGTTCAAGTATACAAAGATATATAGATCATTTTGGTGATGATTATTATGATTTTTATTGTGGTGGTATTCATTGTATTGTTTTAAATTCACAATTTTATGAACATTCATTAAATGTTGAAGATTTAAAATTAAAACATGAACAATGGCTTGATGACGTATTAAAAGATAAACAATCAAAACATATTATTATATTTCAACATATTCCATGGTTTTTAAGACAATATGATGAAGGTAAAGATTATTTTAATATTGAAATAAATACAAGACTTGAAATGCTTGAAAAATTTTATAAAGCTGGTGTTAAAAAAATTTTTTGTGGACATTATCATAGAAATGCAGGTGGCTCATATAAATCTATGGAATTAATTGTTACAAATGCAATTGGTCTTGCATTAGGAACGGATAAATCTGGTGTTCGATTAGTACGTGTTACAGAAAATGATATTGAACATCAATATTTTCCAACAGAAGATGTTCCATTAAATTTTCTATAATATTTAATAATAATAATAATTTCTTTGTGTTTTTTTGTTAGTAAATGCGAAAAAAAAAATTTATTATGAAGCTTTCCTTTTATAAATATTGTTTAAAACTAGAAGAAAATAAATAAGAGAAAAATATTAAATATTTACATCATAGTATATAAAAACAAAATGGTTAAACAATGAAAATTTTATGTTTTTAAGTCATAAAAAGAATAACATTTTCTTTTTATTTTGAGATTAATGCCATGAAATGTAAATTATTCTAGAGTATAAATATTTCGATAATAGACAACATTTTTTTTTATATAAGTTTAATGTATAAAAATATAATTTATGGCATTCATTTTAATATGATAGACAATATAATTTTACAAAAACAAAATACTACGTGATCAAATGTGATTTTCTTCGAGTGAATCAGTTATAAATCAATTGTCTTAAGATATATACTCAATATGTCTATAATATAAATGTTGATAGTAGCAAATATGTTAGAGAAAAATAAATAATCTTAATGATGTTTGAATGTATTATATGAATTCGATAGTTGGTTTTGATCTTATCAAATGTCGAGAGTTCTATGAATATTCCATCAAAAAGAAAAAAAAAGCAACATATTAAACAGTTATTTGATGCTAGAATATCAAAAAATATGATGTATTGTAATTATATTTTATGATCTAAGTTCAGAAATTTTTATCTTACAAGACAATGTACCCAATTGTCGTATACTGCTTGACTTCATATTAAAGCTACGAGTAGGTCTCACTGATTTTGAAATATTCAATTTTTCGTTTCCATTGAAACTTTCAGGATTATCTGATGACTATCAAATGTGCGTATAGATAAAATTTCAGATCAATATTTTTGTTTTGAATTTTTCGGAAATGCTTTGATCTCAGTAAAAATTTCATTAATAAAACCATAGCTCTTCATCGATAGGTCATGGACTCGAATCATTTAAAACTTTGTTTTGTCTTATTGAGACCTATTCCGAGCCATAATATTGGAGTTGAACGGTGTCTAACAGTTGAGTATGTATTCTCGTTAGTCATATTCATTTCTTAGATAAAGCTACATGTCAAGCATTATGAGCTCTATCATTTATAAAAATTAAAAATTAATCTAAATAACAATTTCATATAGATGAGAATTATAAATATTTTGAAAATCTGTAATTTTCAATTACTTTTTGAGTTATATGTTTAAATATTTAATTTGCATTTTATTTCTTCAATAAAAAAATATTCACCGAGGATTAAATATAAAAAAAATAGACAGGTTGAGCAATAATAAAAAAATACACAATAAAATGCGTCTAGGACAGTTACGCGCGGACACTTGTATACTAGAATAGATTATCACTGAACACACTCTACCTTAATTATTAAACGAACCATTTTAATACTGTTCTCTTTTACTAAAGGCTACCATAGTTGAGCGACTATGTTGTTCGGCAAGTATTCACAAAGTATTGTGCTCAAATCTCGGTATCATCAGTTATGAAATGACCATGGACAAGTTACTAACGACTTCTTATCTCCGATAACAAGCTGATTACATTGTGACATACTTCTGCTTCAATGACTATTATATGATTTTAGATAGTGTGTATTGAAAACTTAAAGAATTGAGCACAAAACTTCTGTGTCAGATTGTCCTTCTGTTTAGAGTTACAGCTAGTCGTAATTGTAGGAAAGATATTGGGCTACTGAATCTGTTACGTTGGACAATGATTTATAGCACAAGGCAGAAACATTTTTCCTTCTTCCTATATTTTATTTCCGTTATTTCAGAATTAGAAAAATCTTATTTTCAATATTTTTCTCTCACCTTTTTTTTCCATCAAACCCTATGGAACAACTAGAAAATTTATTCATATTGTCTTTTTCTTCAAAAGTTTTTGTAAGGAGGATTCATCCTATGGCGAAAGTATTCGAGCGCGCAACTGTCCAATTTTTAACAAAGCGGGAGGGTTAAGCAAAGATGACTAGATATGCATATATATATATATATATTGTTTTGTATAATTAATTTCTATTCATTAGGAGCATGACAAAGGCTGTCTTTGCGGTGTAATAGTGTATCACATTCGAGTTTCTACGAAAGAAAAATAAAATCATAATAAATTATTTGTTGGTTTTTTTGTTTTTCGATTATTTTTACTTTAAGTGCTTGACGTCGACGATATTCCATTTTAGCTTTTTCAATTCGTACCCAATATGGTACTTCTTCAAAGCTTGATCGAATTATTTTACAAAATAAAATTAATGCATGCTATGTAAAAAGAAAACAAAAATCAGATTATTTTTTTCTTATTGAATCTAATTTAACAAGAAAATCAATTTACTTCAATACAAACAAGTACAAATATTTCTCCACCAAATGGTAGATCAGGTATTAATCGACGAAAAACACCACGCGTTGAACAAAATATACAATTAATAATAATAGCTGCAAAAACCATATATTCCATAATTATCTATAAAAGAAAAATAATTGTTTATTTGAAATCTTTTTCATTGACGGTTCTTTTTTGTTTCGTATTTACCTGCCATTGTCCAATATCTTTAACACGTTGTGAAAATGGTCTTTGATATATCATACATAATTTAAATGCGTCAGTACGAATTTCAATTAAATTATTTAATAATGAAAAAAATGCTGCTAATGGAAATAATGTTGATAAAAATATAATATAACCAAATTGTACAACCATTTCTAAATAATCTTCATATAAATCTGTCCATTTTGGTTGTGAACATTCAATTTCAGCTTGTGATAATGATAATGTTTCAAATGTTGATGTTGAACTACGATGATTAAGAGAATTATCTGTTAGAATATCATCAACAGCTTTTGTTGTATAATCATGATTGTCTTTTCGTTGTTTAGTTGTATTTAATTTTGAATTTTCCCATTCATCAAGAATACGTTTTAATTCTTTATTAAGATCTTTTCGTTCAGCATAACGTATACGTCCTTTTTTACTCATTTGAATTAATACAGATAAATGAGTATTGGAAATTATATATGGAATAATAGCTTCCTAAAAATAAATAATTTTATTAAAAATTGAAAACAAAAAAAAAAGAATTCGAATGTATAAAGTTTAATTTATCGATTAAATGATGTATACACAATATGTTTCGTATGATATAAACAAATTAAAAATTTTTGAAGAAGAAAATTATAGAGCAAATCAATCTCTACCAAATAGAACATATTTTACTACTCTAAGAAGTTTTTTGATCGAGACGAAAGAACAAAAATTATTTTTTCTGTTATTTCGTATGAAAACATTATTTTTATGTCATTCGTAAAGTTCATCTATCTTGAACAAAAAAAGTGTCGTAGACAATGAAGAGATATTTCATTTTGTAGAGAATTGTTTGCTCTGCCATTCTCAGTAATTCAAGGAGAATTATATTTACATATTCTAAGACCTGAAAAAATTGAATTTTAGGTTTTTCAGAGAACCGTTTCTTAAGAAATTAGTAATCATTTTCATCTTCAATAATTCCTATTGAAAATAAAATTCTCTACTCAAATCACTATTTTATATAATGTCTTAGCTAATAATGATTTTCTTATAGGGTGTGATCAAGGATATATTTGAGACTATGAGTCTTCATTTCATCAACACCTGTATTCACAGTCAACTATGCCCATGCTCATACTCACATTATACTTCACGCTAAGAAAGAAAAGGCGTAACTTCAATATTTCCAAGTATTGAAGTCACGCTTCTTCTGTCTTGTCTCACACCTTCATTCCGTTCTCTAGTTTTTCATATTCGAGTGTTGTATTCATTTATCATATTTAACGATGCATTACAGCCATATCCATCACTACCAAAAGTCAATAAACAAGCTTAAAAGACTTTGAAAATGAAAGTTTTTTTTCTTTCTAAAAACGTTATTTTCTTCAGTATGAAGGTCTAGGAAAATCTTATCATAAAATCAATAAACAATGGTGCATTCGAGATTAGATACTTTGCTCTATCTATTGAGCTAGAAAGCATGAAATTGATAGATTTGGCCACAATTGACTTTTATTAAGGAAGGTCTTAGATCAAGAAAATGAAATTCAATCAAAAAATATTTCTACATATTAACAGGTCGATTTTATGAAATAACAATGCTTTATTTGTCTTTTCTACCAGACATATCTTAAATGTCGTTTTTTTGCTTTTTTTCGTCAAAACCACTATAATAGAATACTAAGAAATACCAACAGTTCAACGATAGGTCTATAATTATTCCTTCCATTCGATAAATCATTTAAACTAATCTAAAACAATAAATGACAAACATTTTTCTTACTTTAATATTGCCCCAAAATTGTTTCATTACAAAAATAGTAGTCAATTGCTAAAAAAATCAACAACACACATTCATGATCTTTTATTCTATAATTTTACTTACATGAGACAACCGAATATATTTATGAGTAAAAAAAGCAATATAAAAAACACTAAAATATGAATTAACACATGAACACTAGAATAAATAACATAATATTATCATATTAATTTATTTTAAAACAAAATAAAATTTACAGCGAATAATTTAGCAATCATCTGATCATCATGTACTCGTTGTTCTCGATAATTTTCTACAAATAAAAAAAAAAACAGTATAAAATAAGAATATCATTTTGATTTATTACCTTGATTAGTTAACCAACGAGCAATACGTTTATAAATATCACTAAATATCGTTGTTACTAATGCTAATAAAATTTTTGGTAAAAACTCTGTTAATGACATAAGATCTATTTTAAAAAAAAAACTTCTTCTTTTTTTTAAATCTTTTTCAAATAATCTATTCATACGAGGTAAACGACCAATTTTTAATTGTCTATCAATCCAACTTTGAAAACGTATAATAAGAAGAATAACAAATGAAACAAGCATAATATTAATACCAATCATTGGTATTGTTACAAGTAAACGAAATAATAAACGTTTCCAATTTGGATAATAAACTTCTAATTTACCAGTTACA